CAGTGAACAAATGAATAAAACTATTCAGCTCTATCAGTTTTCTGGAAATAGGAATTCTCAAATACTATATCTTATCTTTAAAAGTATTTAACAAAAACTAACATTGGAAAATAATCAAATTATTTCTGCCTGGTTTTTGTTCCAGCAGTTTTAAATCACTGTGTAGATTATCCCAGAAAATATTAAGATACTTTCTTGCAAGATGTATACAATGAAGTCAGACACATATTAAATCGGACTAACATTTTTGGATCATCTTTTCTTTTCTATACATTGATGGAGGTGATGGTTGATATTTTATCGGATATTTAGATTATTTTGTTGTGTGTTGTTTGTGATTGCTTACATTTTATCAAGAATGGGAGGAGACGTGTGTCTCTTCTTTTTGTACTATTTTGCAACTTGCACATTCTAGTCCTTCGTGATGAAACAAATAAGCTGCCAATGTAGAAACCATGTATAGGGTCCACTGTAGGGAAGCTGGGAGTTCTTGTTTCATTATACAAAAGCCTCAAAGCAGTTTGTATTTCTCATTCTTACATTTTGGTTTAGTCTCTGAATTAACAACTGAATGCTGTTGTACAAAAGAATTATTGGAAAGAGAAGATCCAGAATTGTATCTTTTTCTATTTCATGTAATACAAAGTGAGAGCAATGCAATTAAATTGGTTGATGGAGGTGTCTGTGCAGGAATTAACTTTTTTCCAACTAATGGCCCTATCCATAAATCCCTTAGTGGAGAATATAGATTTAGGAATTTGTTTCATTGATAGAATTAAAGTTGGCTAATAAAAGCTTGTGAGAATTCTTGCAACATTGCTGACATCTACCATCCAGAAGTAGGTTTTCAGTTATTTATATTCTGATTTTTTTTCTTGGTTCTTCTTATAAACCATGAATATTTGAATATTGGAATAAACAAAAGGATAAGCTGTAAATTCAATATGAGAAATATAATTTTGGAATAATTGCTAAAATTCATTCTGTATCTTCCCCCTTCCTATTAACTCAAAGATGCTGCACATCTAACTAGCTGGATGTCCTATTTTACAAGATAAATTTGAACATTGTCTGGTTTTTTTAAAAAGGGTTATTTAAATGGAGGCAGAAGCTATATGTGCACAGGTTACCTAGTTATAGTTTTTCTGACATAATGAGTTGCTTTTATAAAATCAAATCTATATCCATAAATTAACAAACGTAGATTTTATGTAAATATTCTTCATGTCATGCTCTGCGTTTGCGGGCATGTTTTCTTAATTCTTTTTCTCCTTCTTGACAATGCATAAACAGTCTAAGATAGAATTCACAGTTGATGCTGGTTGTAGCATTATAAAATGTCATGGTACAGTGGAACCCCTCTACAAGGAATAATTCCTCCTGTTGTCCCTGTTAGTGTTAAAATGAAATTGTCTTTGGCATCGATAGTGATGGCTGCTGGAGGCAATATTATTTATTCTCTCCTTTCCCATTAAAAAAAAATCACTCTGCTATGTCCCCACCTTGCCATACTTGTTTTTAAAGAAGTGCTAAATAGTTGTACCATTCTTTTAAACAATAATTCCCTTCTTTTCCACAGGCGAATCATATTTTTAATGATAGCTCTGGAATGCTGGAATACTAAATTAGCTGGCATTAAGCCTTATCCACTGAATGTAGTGTTAAAGCAAAATATGGTATTTTACTTTTTTTCTGGCAGGAGATTTTGATGGAATGGAAATGTGTGAAAAAATTCCAACCAATAAAGATTCTTGTTGTTGCACTCCTGCTGGTGTGCCCTCAACACTGGATGCTCATTAAACCTAAAGAGAGCTCCTATCTTTATAGCAGGCACAACAGAGGGAATTAGCATACTTAATTAAGGCTCTTGATGAATGGCTCTGTAAAGTTTCTTAATTAACCAATGTCTCCTAGGGGGGAGATGGTGTTAAACCAAGGTTGAGTTAAAATGTTTTCCTTTTTATGCATTTAATTAGCATAATCAGAGTGCTGTTTTTTTCATTGTTGTGTGTAGAAAGGTAGATTTTTCTGAGATACACGTTACATTTGGGAGCATGTCAGGAAAAGGATAGATCAGACCTCATCGTGTCTTCTCTTGAGTTAGTGTAGGAAACTGCAGACTATAGAAAGGTAATTAATTGCCTAGTGAGAAACAAGTTACTCACCTATTTTGAAACTAAAGCAAATGCTGGAAACGTTGAAACCGCAAAGAAAGCAGCCTTATCAAATGTAATGAGAATAACTGAAACTAATGCAGTAACAATTTTTGACAGAGTGGTAACATCTGCCTTGATAATAAAATAACTTATATTTGTGGGATGGAAATAGTACTTTTTTTTTTCAGTCAAACCATCATAGTAGCCCCTGTACTGGTTGACTGGAAAGAAAATGTAAATATAGCACTGATTATATTACTGAGTTGCATAATGAATCATCTGCAAGTAATCAACCCAGTTCAGAGATCATCAAGGACTCCACAAAAAAAGTAATCTCCTAGTAAATCATGAATAAAGATTTGAAGATTAGGGCCAATTTCTTAACACTCATTATTGCTTTGGTTCCCTGATGGGACTAAGGATTTGTTTATTTATTTATAAAATGTATACACTTCGGTTTCGATGGCTCTAAATGGTAAACAGTACAACATACCCTATAATCTTATGTAAAAACTATTAATAAATTAATACATTAAATTCAACAGTGTATTTTTTCAGTAATATAAGCTAAAGGGGGAGCGGTTATAGATTTGCTGTTAAATAATAGAAACTTTCCCATATAAATATTTCTTCCAAAATGAAAAATTTGGTTAAGAAAAAAACGGAATTGCTTATACTAGTTTTACTTAGAGGGTCTCTGGTTGGGTAGCTTTTTCTCTCTAGATTTTCATAGCTCATCACTCTGTATGAGTATTAAATAGAGTAAAAAAACAACCCATCCAATCTAGCATTATAAAAATAAGGAAAAAGATTTTAATCCATAGGTATAAAAAAAGAATATAAAAAGTATGTAGTAGAAGAAAAACTAATCCATTCAATTTAAATAGGAAACATTTGCAAAAGTTCCATACGAAAAAGAAAATTAAAAAAATAAAATAACACACTGTCTAATGTAGCTTAATTTTGCCGCTTGTTCTCTTCTGTTTTCAAATTTAATTTAGTTTTAATTTTTTTGGTGGTAGTCTCTTTTATAATAATAAGATTTCCTCACCAGATGGACACACTTTCTCTTTCCATTTTCCTCCTGTTCCAGAGCTGTCTCAACTTCAGCAGCTTCAATGGCTGCGCTTCTGTCGCTGGCAAAAAGAGATTCTCCTGGATCAATCAGGGACTTTGCGGTGTCCCTGAGTTCAGCAGTACGTACTCTTGCCTATCACCGTCTCTTCGGGACGGTTTAAGTCCACCATCCAGTGGCAAAAGTATCGACTGCGATCTTGGAGCTCCAAGATCGTACGTCGTGTCATTGTGACGTCGGCTCCTCCTCTCTCCACTCTGTATGAGTCTGTATGCTTCTTATTCCTTGTATCAATGACCACATTGAAGCACACTGAAAACATTCAATTATTTCCTTAAAGGTATACAGGCTACAAATTTAAATCCATGTTGTATGAATCCCATTATACCTGATTTTCAGTTTTGACTGATTCTAGGGCCCTCAGTCAGGAATCTAGATAAAGAAATCAGTATTGTCCAATAAGATGAATATCTAATTTTGCAGTCCTGTAGGGTAAGCAATGGTTCGATAATATGCCTACAATGTACTGGTCATCAAGAACCAGATTTTCTTTAGGAAATACCAGCACAGTGAACACACCTAGAGGAGTCAAAAATAGAGTGTATAGTATAAGCATAATTGAGATGATTGAGATGTGGCATGATGTTATATCATGGTAGGTTGCAGTGCTTCAAATCAATTAAATATTTGACATTTAGATGTTTTTGGTTTAAATCGTATGTTCCATCGTTTCTCAGAATTACATACACTACCTCTAATCTTGTGATTTCTTCCTTACTTAACTTGCAAGATCATTAAACTGTCTTTGATTCAACATTTCTTCTACTTGGGTAATTTTTTAATTCTCTAGAATTATTATATAAGAATTATTTTAACACAATAATTTATAATAATAAAATAAACTACAGATAGATATTGTTATGGTTTGTCTTGTCGGAAAATGCCTGTAATAATTAGAATTCTCCATAAAATAAGATATTATGAAAAATATACCTATGATATCAGTATCTAGAGAATTAAAATGTCACTTTGAGTTTCTTGGGGAGATAACAGGAGAAATCGTTTTTGAGTCAATCAAGTTACATGATAAAACAAAATTTGATCTTGTTATTTTATCATCTTATATTCCTTGTCATACTACCCTATATGTTCATTCTAATCTTATTTTTTTTCCAAATATATGATGGAGTAACATAAAATAGTTTTATTAAAGTCTCAACTTCTTGAACTTTGGGGTAGCTTAGAAGTTTAAAATTCCTGCATATTTTAGTATGCTTTACATATGATAAATTGATCGAGTATATATTTAGGTATTTGAAATCTGGGGGTTTAAAGAGAATGGATAATTGCTTGAGGAATGGGGTTAAAAAGACCCCTTTTAAAATGTTTCCTCTTTACCATAGTTAAACTGCCAGTTGATGGAATAAAGTGATTACATCAAAAGGAAAGGTGGATGGCCTTCATCAACTTCTTTGGCAACCATTTTACTGTGACTAAAATACGCAGTTCTTAGGAATGTCTGTACACAGGCTGCCCCCTTGTCCTTTTACAGATACAGGTTTGAGGAGCCTTGTTTGTGAATAATCATTTTTGAATAATTTTAAAAAATAGAAAATAAATTTCAGCACCCCCATTTTCACATCTGATTTGAATAAGAATTATGCTTCTAAAATACCTGCTTATGGGTTGAATGGGATATACAGGATTGTGACTGATCTCTCAACATTCATGGCTACTTTTCACTTTCTAATTGTTGTTTTCCTTAACAGTTGGGAAGACATCCCTGATCACAAGATTCATGTATGACAGTTTTGACAACACATATCAGGTTAGCTGTTTTATATTCAATCACATGATATATGCTAATAAAGTGAAATGTTTCTGGGTTAATAGACTGTCAGTATGAAAGCTTGCATTGATATAAAAATATTTATTTTTCTAATTTTATTTAATAGCAATGCTGCATACCTATTAAATTGTTTGTTGCCCAGTTGGCCAGATGTTGAGACTGGATTTGGCATTTTTGTCCACCTAGCAAGTCTTTCCCAAGGATCTGGGATAGACATAGGTGGATGTTGTCACAGGACACAAGATGTTCCAAGTAATATTAACTACCTTTTGCAATTGACTAATGGTGATTTTGTCAATGTTGATGGTATTCAAGTGAGGCTCCAGTTGTTTTGGAAATGCGCCCAAGGCATCTATTACTTTTGGTACTATGTTTGCTTTCTTTTGCTATAGTAGTTCTATTTCTATTTGCAGATCTTTGTATTTTGTTATCTTCTTCAGTTTTTTCTCTTCTATTCTGCTATCTCCAGGTATTGCAACGTCCATTATCCAGACTTTTTTGTTTTGTTTTTTATTATTATTATTAGCTACCTGAAACCTGAAATTTCCTAATCATCTCCAAATAAAAAGCTCATCGCAGTAGGCCAACCTTTCAAGTATATCAGTTACCAAAGCCAATCTGCCTTCTTCAGAGATAGATGTCCCTACTTTATGAGTCAGAACCTCTAAAAGACCATTCTTGCCACTAATAATATGTGGCCATCCAGCATCAATGATGGACCCTGGACAACCCCTAGAGTACAATTATATCACTTAATGGAGATTTAAAACTCCATCAAAATTGTGTATTTCCCAAAATGTCCAAACCCTGCTTCCAGTTATAGCTTCATATTGGATTCAGCTTCAGTTTTATTTTACTATATTCACTCTTTTATGCCTGGATAAATTAGAGAGTCTATTACAGCCAGTCCAGAGTCTATAGAAAAAGTAAACAGAAAATAAATGTAGCTGAACATTATCAGCATATAACACACACTTATAATGCTGAATCTTATTGAGTTCTAGCAGTTTTCTTGCTATAGAGCAGGGGTGTCAAACTCAAGGCCTGGGGGTCAGATCTGGCCCATGGGGCCTCCCTGGAAACAGTAAAGGACTGGCCCGCAGTGCCTCTGTCAGTGAAAATGGGCTCCAAATCTCCATTTTCAGCTGGGATGGCTGCCACAGACAGCCCTCCTAAACTCCGGTTTTACTGGCAGGGAGTTGCAGGAGGCCATTGCAGCTGAAAACGGAGCTTGGGAGCCTGTTTTCACTGGCAGAGCACTCAGGCCACCACAGGCGCCCATGACACAAGTGACGTCGAGCTGGCCATGCCCCCCCCGTCCATGCCCCTCCCTTGACGTGAAACAGAACCCTGATGTGGCCCTCAATGAAATCAAGTTTGACACCCCTGCTATAGAGGCTTATAAGGGATTTTTTAAAACATTAAATTCAATTGTGTTTTAAGGCCACACACGAAACATGTTGGTTGTCATTGGATAACTATAGTATCCTCTGATACCCAACACCCAGTCTATTGGAGAGATCCAAGCAAATTGGAGCAGATTTTGAGGTCAGGGACATTATAGAAGTTAAAAGATAACTAATGAATTGTTTAGTGTTGCTCAGAGCAGCAGACATGTCTTGCCCAGAATGCCAGCTATTGGTGTTAGTCATGTTCAGTACACTCCTGTCTTTTAAATACTTCCTTTTCCCTAGAGTATGTTAGAGGTTGTAGCAAATAATGTTAGCAGTTAATATGCTATAACCAGTGATACTTCCTGCTATAGATAAGGCTTCTGTTGAATGGTAAGTAGGTTCTCTGAATTAAAAGCATTAAAAATAAAAATGAAAAGCAAAAGTTCCTCTAATCCAGATCAAAAGTAAGAAATCAGAAGGAGTGAAAAAAGCAGTTCTTATTTATTTGTTTGTTTGTTTGTTTGTTTTGTTTTGCCAAGCATGTAGAAGATAATAGATATAAGTATATACAAAACTATTAATACATGAAAGGGATACGAATAAATGGGGTTGTTATGACAAGGACGGTAGGCAAGTTGGTGCGTTTATGCACGGCCCTTAATTGTGCCTTATATGTTAACCAGCTGCTGTGCTGATCATTTTCTCCTTAAGCTACAGAGCTAGTAGCTTCTAGCTTGGAAGACTCTCTCTATGACCATATGTTCACAGTTTACAATTTGAAACAGGTTTCAACCAGCCTAAAAGACTGTTGGCCTTCAGCTATCATTTCCTCTGCCCTCCTAGATTTAAAGAGCCACCTGACTCAATGATGATGGCAATTTAATGTGGTAAACAAACTCCCCTTTCACCTTTTGACAGGCAATTTAAAATGCATGCAGAAGTAGGCGCATTGCTTGAGTGAACTTAGTAGATTGATTTTCTTGTTAAACCCTGCTTCAATTTCCAGGATAGCTTTTTGGGGCCGTACAGAGTGGCATCTTTTCTCACAATATTTTTCACATTCCTTTCTGGTTACTTGAATTTGATGCCAATAAAGCACACCCAAGGGCTAGAAGTTGCATTTAAATGCAAAGCTATTTAATTTTTATTTTTCAGTCAATTCAGTTATTTAAAATTAAAAAGACCTCCGAATGTCTCAATATACTTCTTCCAACAAATATGAAGTTTATATTAGTGAAAAAAATATGTACAAATTGCATATACTCATGAAAAGAATTTCTAAAAATGTATCATATTATTGAACTTGTTTAATAGAAGTATAGATCAGGCTACGTTGTAAACTAAAGTTGCATAGATTTTAGCATACCTTTTCATAATCAGATTTGATAAATGACCTTGGAATATTTTATTACATGTAAAACAGGTAACATGTTCAAGGGTTGTAACTTCAGAGTGACTATTTATTATTACAAAATTTAAAAACTGCATATATTGCAATTTTCGTACAATACAATATCCACCAAGTACAATACATCCTGATGCGATATACTCCTGGGCTTACTGTACTCCATGCTTCATTGGTTTAGGTTTTCTCATGGATGTGTAGAGATACAACTACTCTTCTGACTGGATTCTTTTGTTATGTGCCTTTGCCCTTGTTCTTTCTTCTTTCGTGGCTTTTCATTGCAGAGGAGGAAGTCATATGTTCTAGGAAAAAATGTGTTATTCTGATCATAAAACTTGTTTCCCTTAATACTAAAAAAAAAAAGTATAACAGCACAACTCGGTTAGCACTGTCTTCCTGATTTAGACTATAAGGTAGGACAACTTTAATTTGTGATATATGATTTTAGCCTTGCCATTTTCATGGTCTGCAGACAAAATGGCATCAATTTTGATATGCAGAAATGAAAGCAGGTTCATCTGTATTTAGAAAATAAAAACATCTAATTGCATTTGATTTCTACATCTTGCAAATGAAGCAGGTGCATGAAGCAGCTAAACTGAAACTGGGAGAGGAAAGATATCAGAGACAGCACATATGAAAACCAAGGGTTGAGGGAAATATTGTTTAACTCATGGCCCCACTTTACAAAATGCTTTACAGATGTTGCTACTTCTCAGAGCTTGTTGTCCATCAACATTGCTGTTTCTCATATCACCAAGAAGCCTCTAAAGAGCCGAGGTGGCGCAGTGGTTAGGGTGCAGTACTGCAGGCCACTTCAGCTGACTGCTATTTGCAGTTCAGCGGTTCAAATCTCACCGGCTCAAGGTTGACTCAGCCTTCCATCCTTCCGAGGTGGGTGAAATGAGGACCCAGACTGTGGAGGGGGGCGATATGCCGACTCTGTAAAACCGCTGAGAGAGGGCTGAAAGCCCTATGAAGTGGTATATAAGTCTAACTGCTATTGCTATTGCTATTGCTAATGTGACTACAGGTTCCTAACTTGTTTCTGCTGTATTGTTTCTCTTGCTGTTGACGAAAAAGTGACCGATTTTTGCATAATATATGTCCTTGGGGATTTAATATATTTATATTTATATATTTAATAATATTCAAATTTCCTTTTGTTCTGAAAAATAAATGTGAATTGATTTACCTTGTTTTTCACTTGAAAATATTTGTGTCTGGAGATTAAATCTGCATTTGTCATTTCATGTGTAATATGGCTTGGGTTAAACATATTTTAAATCAGCTCTTTCTTGTGAAATCTTGGGAAGGCTTGCCCTGAAAGGTGTGTGATATAAATGAATTAACATGGAAGGAAAGACAAGAGAGTCATCTACAATTTGAATGAGTCTCCTGACCAATAACAGCCATTGCAACCCAACAGCACATTGTGTATTGGAACCCAATTGGAAAAAGCTGCTTTAATAAGCTTTAAAAAAACCCACTCCTGCTATCTAAGAAAAAAAAATGCCTAAGTGATGCTTTCAAACAGTTCTGGCTTCAGACTGATTTTGACACTGATCTCATGTGGCAGGGATTTCACACAAGAATTGTCATACTGCTCCATTTAATGCAGCACGCATGTTCCACAAACAAAAGCAAGACAATATTCCTGGAATGCAGAAAGATTGTTCTCTCTTGCTTTTACTGTGGGCATCTGGTATACTGTATATGATGGATCCATGCACTCATCAAGCATTGCAATAAGATTTGCTATGAGTGTTTTGGTTTGTAGTTCATGCTCTTAATTTCTGCGTATCATAGGTTTTGCCAGCTTGACAAAAAGAAAGTAACTGCATCTTTTCCGATTCTGAAGAGATTACCTGTCCTAAGCTGAATAGCAGGAACTGGGGATGGGAGATGGGGATGAAACAATTTATGCATTGTGTGACTTAATAGAATTTGGCTTGAAGTAAATGAGAGGGAAATCCTAAAAGAGCAGTGTCCAAAAAAAAGTATATTATTAAGGATCTCTGGAATGTATACCCATGCTGTAAAACAATTACAAGAATGATGCTTGATATAAATATTGAAAATAAATGGAATTATATATTAGCAACCCCTTCACACAGACACTGATACCATATCTATTTCTAGTAAAGTTAGAGAAAATCCTTTGAAATTAATGTAGCACTAGTATTATATCCCAATGCTTTTAGCAATATATATATGCACAAATGCAACACACACACACACACACACACACACACACACACACACATATATATATACACACACATACATACATACATACACACACATACACACACATACACATACACATGCACACATATACATACACCCAACAATGTTAGTGGGCAATGTTTAGAAGGTAAACATTGGCAATATTAAAATATGCATTTTATCCTTGTTCAAAGATAAAAATGAAAATATTAAGAACACAGATGTTAGGTTTATGCTGATAACAGCAAGAAATGTTGTTATTCAGAAATAAAGACATAAGAATTTCAACACTAGATGTTTGATACTGTAAATTATTAGTATTGTCTCAATGAAAGGACCCACGGATACAAAAAATGCATGTTCTTTAGGTATAACGTTCCTTTTAATTTGATTTGTAAAGGTTGTGTACCTTTTTATATAAAATTGGAATCAACAAGGAGGTACTTAATCGCAAGAGTGGGGTGAATTTTGTGGCATGGAGATATATCATTATCTTAAAGGAGAAGGAGTCTTGCATTTGTTATGAAGAACTGTATTTTCTAATAGTATACTTTTTTCTGTATTTTTTTAAAGTTAATATTCAGTAGATGGTGGACTGCTTTTGCAATTCCCTTACATATCCTGTTTCCCTGAAAATAAGACCTCCCTGGATAATAAGCCCAATCGGGCTTTTGAGCGCATGCACTAAAATAAGTCCTCCCCCCAAAATAAGCCCTCCTCGAAAATATTGCAACACAGCAGCAGCCATGAGTGACCACACTCGCCACCTCCTGCACCTCAAAATTAATAAGACCTCCCCCCAAATAAGGCCAAGCGCTTATTTTGGGGGTCAAAAGAAAATAACGCCCTGTCTTATTTTCGGGGAAACACAGTACTTATTTAAATTCTGCTGTATTAAAAGTGATATCTGGCAAAAAAATTCTGGTTTTCCTTCTTCTCATCATTTTTCTCTTATCTCACCTCCAATATGACCCTTACAGAGAAATGATTTGGTGCCATTCCTATTGATCCCCAGTGGCCCTCCCAACCCTTTCTGTTGTTCTGTCTGACTTTCTTCTCAAATGCCTCCTTACTCCTGAGATTCAAAGGCCTTGAAACTCAAAAGATTATTTGTTTTTTTTTCCTAATAGGAACTGTGCATATCAGGATCCGGAGCTTAATTAGCTTCCAAACCATACTGCTTTTCTTTCTTTCATCCCACTCTATCCCCTTCTGACAGCTGCGGCTACAAAGCAAATCAATAAAAGGGCCCTAAAATAGAAGGACATTTTCTCCATCATCTGAATATAGAACACCCACCAAAAATATGAAATTAAACTGTATTATTACACTGTAAAGTCAAGATTCTAAGAAACCTAAAAGACTGAATATAAATTCAGTAATCACTTTCTGCATTTCTCAGAGAGATATGTAAGTGAACACCAGATAAGGCCAAGCCAATCTGAACAAAGGAAGTGTACAGCAGTGGGGGAACTGCCTCTATATCCAATCATTTCTCACTTGTCAGTTTTCTAGTGACAGCCATTTGTTTATGTCCTGTTGGTTGCTGTTTGATCTTCACTATTATGTTTATCAGGAATCAGTAATAAATATTTGTGCCTTTGTGGTATGGATACAATAGAGAGCAATTTAAAAACAAGAGGTGGCATTAATATTTAGGTGGGAGGATATGCAGCAACTCAGAATTCATGCTCACCCAGACTATCTGTTGCTATGGAAGTCTAATGAAGGCAAACACTAATCTCTCTAAAATGCAATTATTTTAGTGAGATGTCAGAATTTCAGCAACAACCAGAAGTTCTAAATAAGTATTGCCTCCTTTGGCCATGGGAGTATTTCCTTATTTTTTTTCTTCACTTTATTGTTGCTTTTCACAGCAATAATAGGCAGGGCAGAATAAACCAATCTGCCAGGGGCATGAAAATGTGCAAATTAAATTCCATCTATTTCTTTCTCCGCTGTGCCACACTTGTAACTGGAAAGACTCCCTTTGATGTGTGAGCTATATCACCCGGTAGCTTAGAACAGCCATCTGAGTTCAACAGTACAAGATGGATTTTTGTCATCTTATTTTCAAATTCTATTTTTGCATTTCTAAAAAAACAAAAAACCCGAATAAATGCAACTCATTGTGGAGCACTAACCATACGGAGTCAGTGATGTGTTGGCTTGGTAAATATTGGCCAGCTGCCTCTGGAGAGAATGCCTTTTGCAGACTGCAGCACACACTGTTTGATTAATCAGCTAAACTCAGAAGCAGATGTGACTTGAAATCCAAACTTCTCCACCTGAGCTCTCATACACAGCCCCTTTTTTAACTACACTGGTCAGCTTTGCAGTCATGAGGTTGTAGAGCTCCTTTGTCATGTACTCACTACAATGCCCATATTTGACTGGGAAAAACTATTTGAAATCAAGTAATAGAAAATAACTAATATTTGTGTATATTACATCAAGTAGATGCAATTATTTTGCAGCCAAGGCCATATTTAAAAATAAAAAAAAGACTTTCAAGGAGCACAGCAGGTATAGTGATGATGCAATGTAAATGATGCTAGATTGGGGAAAGATGCTTGATTGTAGGACAGAACTTCATTACGTAAATTATATCCTAAGAAGTCTGCATCTACTTTCTATGTTCAAGGAGACTTGGGGTCTTATTTTAACAATAATAAGGTAAAGGTTCCCCTCGCACATATGTGCTTGTCGTTCCTGACTCTAGGGGGCAGTGGTCATCGCCGTTTCAAAGGCGAAGAGCCAGCGCTGTCCAAAGACGTCTCTATGGTCATGTGGCTGGCATGACTAAATGACAAAGGCACACTGAACTCTGTTACCTTCCCACCAAAGGTGGCCCCTATTTTTCTACTTGCATTTTTACATGCTTTCAAACTGCTAGGTTGCCAGAAGCTGGGACAAGTAATGGGAACGCACTACGTTATGCAGTGCTAGGGATTCAAACCGCTGAACTGCCGACCTTTCAGATCGACAAGCTCAGTGTCTTATCCACTGAGCCACCGCGTCCCTTTTAACAATAATAGCCTTCCATTTTTCTTTTCAAATTGACACTTTTTCTGAAGTTTTATAAAGAATATTATAAAGTTCAGTGGGGAGGGGCAATGGGGGAACAATCTTACTGTCACTAACCCTCCCCTACCGTTGTTCTCTGCTCTCCACACATCCATCTTTTTTTATAATATTAATGTATTCTCATTGTGTTCTTTTTCTTTGTTTATTAACTTATTTCTGTTCTCTTTACACTTTGTTCATTTCTTTTTATTGTGGTAAGCTGCCTTAGAACAGCCTCACGGCGAGAGAGGAGGCAAGTAAACTTAACAAAAAAATAAATATATATGCTGCAATACTTGAGTGCACTTGTTCCTGTTGAAGCAGTAGAATGTAAAATTAATTTTGAATCAAAATAGCTGCTGACATTTCTTCTGTTTTCCCTCTTTCTTATAGGCTACAATTGGAATTGACTTCCTATCTAAAACCATGTATTTGGAAGATCGGACAGTAAGTAGCAGGAAGTGTTGAACTGCTGAGATTATGAAGCTCTGTGCTCAGAAAAAACAGTGGGCAGACATCAAGAGGTCCCCATGCTAAGCCCCTCCTGTTTGACCAAACTGATAATTAACTTGTCCACTGATGGTGTGTCATACCTAGTAGGGTTGTTTTTGTTATATTGCCCTGGACCCTATTAAGAAAATGGTGTCCTAAAAAAAAATTAGAGTCACACTTTTTCCACGTGGCTGCTTTTTTTCACAAGATTCTGCTGTTGCTCCTTGCGAAGAAGTGCAGAAGTAGGACAAATGAACAGAATTCAATCTAGCAATTATCACCTTTGGTAAATAATGACCACAAACTCCATGAATTACTCTAACCCCCCCAAAAAAAAAACATTTACCTAGGATTTTGGCTGAATGTTAGTTTAGGGCAGGGGTCAGCAATTCACGCCTCTGGAGCCGCATGTGGCTCTTTCATCCCTCTGCTGTGGCTCCCGGTCGCTCGTCAACTCCACAATTTATAGGGCTTTCAATTAGGACAGGTAGAGAAAAAAGGATGCTGTTCTAGGAGGGGACTCTATGGTGGGGGAACCAGACTTCCAGTCAGCTCCAGAATTGAATGGAGGGGTTCCAGTTAGGACCTTTGTGGCTTTTTGAGTGTTTAAGCTTGCCGACCTCTGGTTTAGGAATTAGCAACTTCACTGCATTGCTTCCATGGCAATAACTAAAGTTGCCTGTCAAGTGACCTTGATTACAGAAGGCTTCAGGGGAACATCCCATTGTTAGCTTGGCAAAAGTACTAGAATGGTTTGTCATTACTTTCTTCTGGAAATACGTTTGGCTTTCTAGTTTAGAATATTGCTATATTTCTTGAAAGCCTCTCATCCAAGGCTTTGTTTTCTTACTTGCTGCTAGCATGATTGCTTGCCATCTCTGGGATGAGATGGAGCATGCAGTTTCTTCAAAGAAAGGAGAAATTAACTAGGAAGCTTTCCTTAAGTGCCTATGTTTTGATGCTTCTGCTTTTTCTTAGAAATGTCACTGCCCCTTCTTAAAAAAAAGCAATTTATAATTTGGGGAGAACCTTTTTGTAAGGATAATCCAATGTCAACACAGATGGGCGTCAGCTAAAATGAGAGAGAAGCAGTGGCGGCAGCACTGCATTAATCGGTAGCATCTTGTGCAGCGTTAATGCAATCTCAAACATCTATCTTAGTCCTAATGGATTGTTTCCAAGGCTTTCCAATTGCTTTTATGAAAATGACAGGTCGAGTATAATAGAAATGCAAGAGGAAAAGTACTGGTAAATTTCCCTAAGCTGCCTCACAGATTGTATGATCTGCTAGGGGCTAGAAGATGAATACTGTAGCTTTCTTATTTCTGTTGTCCTTTTATCAGAAGATGCCAGCTAGTTGTTTCCCTAGGGAAACCGACTCAAATGTACCAAAGGGTAGGTTGCCTGCATTCAGACTAGGTCTGGTGAAGCATTCCTTTGACAAATATTCCTGAGTCAGTTTGAATTTTGTATATGTGTGAAAGTGTTGTGCCCAATTATGATGACACAATGCTTGAATATTCCTGGTGTATCGATCCTCCTGATCCCTCTAATAATGCAGATAGCTATAGACTATGTTGCAAATCTCATGAATCAATGCAAATGTGCATTGCCTATGCCTTCCTTTCAGTGAAAACCAGCGGTGACTTTTGTGATACTATTGTAGCCTGATCCCAGTTGCTTTTTAAAACCAACTATTACAGGCATCTCTCCTTCAAATTTCTATCTCAGGGGCCCCTTTTTGTTCATCCTATCAAACTTTCATAGTTATAACATTTGCAATATGTTTTTAAGACGCCAACTTTTTAAAATAAGAATTTCAACCTCATACTTTAAAACATACAACATTCTTGGATCCAAGATTTCACAAAGAAGTAGTACAAATATATCAAAGCAGATAATATGCATGACCAAAATTTTAACAAGCAGCAGATTGACTTCTGTCTGGTGTCCTCCAAAGGCCAACATATTTTAAGAACATCAGGTTGGGGAAAACCAATGTACAAGACATACATAGAAATTCTTTCTCCCCATCCGTGTTCTATGGATTATAAATACACAAAATTATGTTTGTAATCTTGTGTGGGCACTACATAAGATTACAAATAATGTTTTGAAGAACTAACACACAAAACATTAAATTATCTATTTAAAAAACAAAATGCATAGCTAGAAGCCTCTTCTGTTTAATTCTTTATCACTTTTGTTTTCTTCCTGTTGTTTATATCTGTTTCTCTTCCTAATTGTGTGTGTGTATATGTATATGCCTTTCTCTTTGCTGCTCTCCTCCCCTGGCCCTGGCAGGTACGGTTGCAGCTCTGGGACACAGCAGGCCAAGAGAGATTCCGAAGTTTGATTCCCAGTTACATCCGTGACTCTACAGTAGCTGTGGTGGTTTATGATATCACAAGTGAGTTAAGTTTGGATGTGATTGTCTAAATGGAAATACACCACGAAGGCACTTTTTACTTCAATATCAGTGCTCTCTATAATATAGTACATCACATTACTCAATATAAAGTGAAACAAATGATTACACTAGAAGGATTCCTGACTGCCATCTGTCAGAAATGGTGTCAGGTCTCCTATTTGAGCCGGGGGTTGGACTAGATGACCTACAAGGTCCCTTCCAACTCTGTTATTCTGTGATTCTGATTGTACTGAAAGGATATGAGATGTTACACTGGAGAGCTTGGCCCTGTTCTCCTTTATGCTACCACCGTATTTTAAGATGTAGTAATATGCAGGCATTCTAAATGTCCTTGTTAGCAGTTTTCACTACCCTTCAATCTTGTAAATTGCTATTATAAAGAACAGGCAGCTCCTGTTCGTATTGTATTATAAGGGAAGTAAAGCTTCCCTTATGTGGATAATTGTAATCCAAGATTTTATTTTTCTTCTGTTTAATCATATCAATTTTTGGAGAATGACTGGACAAACCCCTGTGGTTTTCTTAGCAAGGTTTTTGCCGTTGCCTCGTTCCTAAGGTAAAAGAGAAAGCGACTAAGATGGGACTAGAACTCACAGTCCCTCAGCTTCTAGCCCAATGACATAACCATTATACCAAACTGTCTGTGTATATCTACATTGGAGAAGGCTAATTCTTAAAAGGTTCAATGAATATTAGAGACATACCTTAAATTCCTAGCCAGGTGCTGGGTGGGGACTTCTGGGAATTGAAGGCCACACATCTTAATGCTACCAAGGTTAAGAATCACTGCCTTAAGGAGTAGCTTGATATTCCAAATAAGTATCCTCAAATCCTACATTCTGCTTCCACTATTATTAAACCTGATACCACTGGGAAGTCTCAGGCCAAATAAAGCAGGAATCATTTAACTATAGACTGGTCCCTTCCTGAGAAATTAGATCAATGCTTTTTAAATCTTGTTAAGAGTACATCATTTCCTTTTGTGTATATAATACTGATTGCCCATATGGTAAAAACGAATTGATTTATGGACTGAGTGAAACTAATAAAAAAGCAAAACACTGAAATATCTTCTCATCGGTATTTTTATAAACAGGCTGTTTTAAATTTTTGTGGGTCTTGTTTTTTAAAGGACACATTAATTTACTTCCCTTATACATGTTTGCAACTAGAGCGATGGTACTTTCGATTACACTCCTATTGTCCTTTCCAGTATCTATCACTATAATATTTCTCAGATGGCTTGAACTGCCAACACCAGAACTTTCTGTGGCAGTTTTGCTTTAGTACCGTGCTTGTATTTCTTTCATTTATTATAATTATATGTCATGCTTGCTTCAAATTATACTTAATTTGTTATATTTCCATATGCCCATTTTATCCTCATATAGTCTGAAAGGGAGTGATTGACTATATGATGTCTTGTAGCTGAATGTCAGTTTTAATCCATGGCTCCAAGTGTGATCTACCCTTTATAACCACATTGGCCAATCTAATACATAAGAAAAGTCTTCCAGATCAGACCTACATTATGGGAAAGATGAAAATGCAGCAGTCATATCTCCAGCTTAAGGGCAAAAGTTCAGTGCCCAGTGCAGGAATATTTGCAAATGATCTCTCAGAGAGGTAGAAAGGTTAGCATCATAATGTCCTAAAGGAGCTCAACTAGGCTGACTTTTTTCCCATGCCCCTCCCTTTCTTGTGGTTTAAATATATATTACAATCAAGACAGATAAATGTTTGTGTTTACACATGTTCGTTATTACTTTGTCTTAAAAAATGAACTATTTTTTTATAAAGAGATGAAGTACCTATTCTCAAGAAACAGTATTTAATAAAAGCCACTATAACGGCAAAAGCCATTTTATATTTGATGTCTGTAACTATACTGATATCATTGCATAAGCACATATATATTTTTATTAGCAATGGCATCTCTTCCTTGTCTGTAAAAAGTGGTTGTAAATCAGGGAATAGAAGTTGGAGAAAGAATTAGTGGTTGTAAATCAGGGAATAGAAGTTGGAGAAAGAATTATCACAACGATCTAAATAAATTATTCATAAACTTACTTAACCTGCACTACTGGTTATCCTTCATGAATTTGTACACTCCCATTTGTAAGCCATTTGAATTGATGGCCATCCACAAACCTTCTGGGAGCGAATTCCATAGTTCCATAAGTATTCTCAATGACCGATGATTTTCAGATGGCCCTCGTTTTTTTCCTTCCACGAAACCTGTCTCCATGCTGAAGGACTTACCAAGATAAAATAATTCTGATCTTCAAATGCTGGATCCAGGTTCTGCCATGAAGACCCTAACTTTTTCTGAAGCCCTCTCTCGCCATTGCATTGTTCCTATTGAAAAGAACATAACAGGAGTGGAAAGTGACGGAAAGGAGGATCTGGCTCCCTCTGGTGGCTCCAGCTGACGAAGGCAGTTGAGGAGTGAACAGACAAAAGTGATTCAGTATAAATGCTCCTTTTCTAATGGATTGCTTTGGAAGGACTGAGAGGACTGCTTTGGTTGCTATAGTTGCATACACTCTGTCTCTAACTGGCAACTGACCTTCTTAGAAAACAAATGTAGGCATTAGTGATTTGTTGAAAAAGAAAGCTTGGGCCTTCTGTTACAGTTTGTTTGCCTTAGAAGAACTTGTGGTTGAAGCTGTTGCCAGTGAGGGTATGCACAGAAAACTAGCTGTGTGAACAAAAGACACATACAACCAAATAGTCTACAAAACAAGGATAGTGGGAATTTACTGCTGTGCTAACACAAAATGTCTTTCCTTTTTTATTTTTTATTAACAAACATGTAAAATACACACACACAAAACCTAGACGTACACCACATTTACACAATACAATACGAACAGGAGCTTCCTGTTCTTTCTAATAGCAATTATCAATCGATACCGCTCACCTTATATTATTTCCCCTTCTATTGTGTTTCATTTGGATTTCACCATTCTTAACCCTCTTATTTTAGTCATAACTATTATTTTTTGAGTTTTGTTATATTCCTTCATTGATTCTTGTTCTTTCCTCCATCCACCTATGCCATTTATCCCATATCTGGTAGAATTCTGATTCTTCTTTTCCCTGGATTTCTTTAGTTAGTTCGTCCATTTCCACACAATCCATAAGTTTTCTTATTATTTCATCTTCGCTTGGAGTTAATTTGTTTTTCCATTTCTGGGCAAAGGCAATCCTTGCCGCCATAATTATATATAGTAGTAAATACTGGATTTCTTTTTTGTATTTTGCAGACATTATTCCTAATAAAAAAACTTCAGGTTTCCATTCTATTTTAACCCCTATTATTGTCCCTGTTATATTTGATCCTTTTCCAAAAAATGTTAGCTTCCTCACAGGTCCACCATAAATGGTAATATGATCCGTGTATTGATTCACATTTCCAACATTTTGGGGAGGTATTTGTTAAGATTTTAGCTAACCTTGTTGGTGGCAGATGCTATCTGTAAAACATTTTGTACTGATTTTCCTTGTATGCAACTGATAATGGTCATTTTTAAGTTTGTTCCCAAAATTTTTCCCATTTGTCTAATTCAATAATATAGCCAAAGTTCTGTGTCAAAATGTCTTTCCTAAGGGATACTTTATCCGAACAACGTCTGGCTACAGCTGCAAGTGGCTAGTACAGAAATGCTTAAAATGTTAGTATTAGCTCTGTTTGCAGCTTGAGCATGAAAAATAGATTAGTTGTAAATTGTATGAATGTTGCTTGTGATATGCATGTTTTAAAATCAGCTGGCTAGGGGAAGGGGACATAAAAATCACTGTGTTCTGATAAAAACAAATCAGCTGAGATAAATTTATTTGTTGACATTAGTTCTGTTTCTTCTATAGACCTAGAACATTCTAATGGACATTGTGCTGAAAGGCACATTTGATGTTATGCCCAATCACTGTTTGTATTACAATTATAATAAAGCAACAAATCTTCAACCTTCTGTTCACTTCCTGTCCATTCCTGTCCTTGTAAAAATACTTTACGTTGTGTAATATTTTTGTATTCAAACCTTTTTTTCTTTTGGCTTTCATTGTCCTGACATTTGTATCCAAAATCTTAGTTTTGATTTCTTTGAATCACTTTTATTTCTTCTTTCGTCTAGCCTCATAACATAAACAGAAAAGTTGATATCACTTCTTTAGTGTACAATTTCTTTGTGCACTTTTATATTTTTCATCCGTTTTCTAAGGAAATGAGATTCTCTATAAGGAAATCCAGTCAGCTGCCCAGCTTCTCTTTAAAATCCAAATAATCCTATGAGGTAGCTTTAGTAATTGGTGCAAAATCCCCGTTAAATTTTCACATATAAATAAATAATTTTAACCTAAGCACAATATTCAGTCACTCTGAATTGATTAATCCAGAAGAAGAACCCAGATATGGGTGGAGTAACTGGCTAAAAATTATATGAGTTGTGGTTCAAAAACATTTGGGGACCAGAGTTTCTCCATCCCTGAGTCTGAATGAATTTTCTCAAATTCATTCAACACTGTGACTATTGTCAGAAATCATAAAAATTCTCCAAATCCTTTGGCTAAGCCATTTCTATCATCTGTTGGAAAGACTGGTGTGTACCTAATTTCTGGTTTTTCTTCACAGATCTCAATTCCTTCCAACAAACTTCCAAATGGATTGATGATGTCCGAACAGAAAGAGGAAGTGATGTCATCATTATGTTAGTGGGCAACAAAACTGACCTTGCAGATAAAAGGTAAATACCCACTATCAGAAATGAAAAGGAAGCAATTCAGGTACAGAAGGTCTCTTAATTTGTCTAAACTGTACACAGAAATGTTGAAGAGAGGCAGTATGTCATATACTATGGAAGACCTCTAAGGCAGTGTTTCTCAACCTTGGCGACTTGAAGTCCACAGGACTTAAAGTCACCAAGGTTGAGAAACACTGCTCTAAGTCTCTTTGTCAAAGGAAGAGATTCCCTAGAGTGGTATTTCTTCTTGCATTTGTTAATGGAAGCAGGTGGATCTTAATTCCAAGATATCTTGTTTTCCCCATTTTCCCAATTGCATTGAATCGGCTACCATTTTCTTTTTGTCTGACTCTAGGCAAATCACCATTGAAGAAGGGGAACAGAGAGCTAAAGAACTGAATGTAATGTTTATTGAAACAAGTGCAAAAACAGGATACAATGTAAAACAGGTAATACATGCTTATTCTTGGGTACACATAAGAGATTGCATTTTTCATACATGAGAAAGGATACATAACAAGGGGAGAGAATATACAGACAGCTGTTGGCAAAAACTGTTATATAGCAAATAAGGCCTTCATGGCCTGAGCTTTTTCAGGATGCCATCACGTAATAGCCTTTATACAAAAATCATTTTTATTTAATTCATCCCTGGTTTGCAATCAGTTGGCTCTCCAGGCATATTACTTGATATTCTAGAAATTGAAATGATACTTTCTGGAAATATGTGGCTTTCACTGCTCAGTGGAAAGGCTTTCCCTGTGATATTAATCTGAAGAGCACTCATTTTTGTAACCTTCAGCTAACATACTAGGAAGACAGTTTGGGGTTCTCCTTTTATGAATGTCACATGAACAGTATTATTACTAATTTCAATTTTATTTTGGATGCAAAGTCCTGATTGTTTTTTCTCTTGTTTAATCTTATCTCCCATTGGCCTTGGTTTCTCCAGCTCTTCCGACGTGTTGCATCAGCCCTACCAGGGATGGAGAGTGTTCAAGAGAAGAGTAAAGAAGGGAGTATCCTTTATTAATTAAGAACAGCAGTTTCACAAAGGGAATTTCCCATTTAGGAACTCAGAGCCAATTCAAATGAATAAGAAATGGGATGTTTAAAGTGGCAAGTAAGTTAGCTTGTGGAAATGTCTGTATGTTGTCTTATATGTAACATGTACTATATATATGTTACATATCTTCCTCCAAATGAATTTAAGCTTGAAGATATTTCCTCTGCTGTTCCATTGACAATCTCCTCTCCCCCAATTATCAATGACTGGAATAGGGGAAATATTATTTGTTTCTTTATTTAGAAAAAAATGTATATGGCTTTGCAACTTAAGCAAATAACTCAGAGAGGCAACTCACAGTTGGTAAGCTAACGTAAAAGCAGAACAGAAAAGTATAATTTCTCTAAAAGTAGTTGTAACATAATACAAAGTCTGAGGCATCTTTAAAGCAAGCCATATTCTCTAAAATTATATGTTGCGCTTCTCTTAACAGCTTTGCACTAACATGTGAGGTAACAGCCAGGTCTTCACATCCTTTCACAAGGCTGGCAAAATTTGGGCAAAACAGACCTTGGAGGAAGGCTGGGCAGGTGCTACCACAGAAGAATGCATGTCAATTGGATCACACAACATGGTACTGTTCCACAGAATCCATCTGGAGCCATGACTATCTTGTTGAATCTATTGGAGCAGCAAGAAATATTTTAACTATTAAGTTAATATAATCCAATATGTAAAGAGTGAAATAATTAACAGTACCACCCAAAATAATACAAATATCCAGTTTTCTAAAGCTCAAAAAAAATGAAGACTATTAGGTGTAATCTAAAGTCTGTCATGGGCAATATACTGTATCCTTTAGACTGACAATGCAGAAGTTAAAAGAAATACAAATTGTCATATCAAGCCTGAGAAATAATTTGGTTAATACATTAAATATAATATAATTAAACCACGTTTTATAGCCTATAAAATTGATTTAGGCCATTTGTAATACAGATAATCTTGACTTATGACCACAATTGAGCCCAAAATTTTAGTTGCTAAGCAAGGCAATTGTTGAGCCCCGTTTTACATCCATTTTTGCCACAGTTGTTCAAGTGAATCACTGCAATTGTTAAGTGAATTATGTGGTTATTAATTGAATCTGATTTCCCCCATTGATTTTACTTGTTAGAAGACAGCTGGGAAGGTTACAGGACCTCAAGACAGAGTAATTGTGATAAATAAATGCCAGTTGCCAAGAGCCTGAATTTTGATCATGTGATCATGGGAATGTTGCTGTGGTTGTGTGAAAACCAGTCAAAAGTCACTTTTTACAGTGCCATTGTAACTTTTAACAGTCACTAAACAAATAGTTGTAGGTCAAGGACTACTGTAGTGCCTCAATACAAACTTAGCACTCCTAGAACTTTCTTTAGTTTACATCAAAATTAAAATTGGGATGATACTGATGTTTTTAATTTAAAGTAGTTCTTATTGGTTGAGGTGAAGGACTTGAAAGTGAGAAATATATCAGGCTGATTATAATTATCATTACCTACAAAAGTAAATTTTGCACTTTCCTTTGTCTCTCCTTTTATGTTCAGTCAACATAGAATATAGAAGGGACAACGAGCGAACATATAAGAATTCACTCATTTAGAATTCAGCATTTCTTGGTGAAAAACTTTTGGTGCTTATTATTTTAGGGAAATATAACTTTCTATATATTTTAATGTAAGCATATATTAAGAAAAATGCTATTTAAGTTCAAACATTTTAGTTTAATTTGAGATCACTGTATAGTGTCAAAAGGCAACTGTTTTGAAAAGTGTCGGAAATCCATCTTTTAATTCTATATTTGTTTCAAATCCTTCAAGAATTGTAAATCGCTAGAATTTTTAATCACAGATGTGTAGAAAATGGTCCATGTTGTTTTGGCTTTTGTTTTCCTACTGGGAAAGACTTAATGTGCAAGCCAACAATTTTGTGTCTTGGTAACATCGAGCTTTGTATTGCGAGGTATCAAAAGGCAGATGAGGAATCAGCTAACTATTTCCTTCCTATTGTGAATTCCACAGACACACAAAATGACCTTGTTAAATTGAACTCAGACTCTCATTTCTCCCATTATGGGATGAATACACTAAAGGAAAGCATTAGCACAGAACAGTACTAATGAATATTGTTCAATTAACTGTTATTTATTTGAGATAAATGAAACCCAGCAATAATGACTTCCTTCTATCCCCGAGGCTGGCAGGAAATCAAGAATACACATGGATAGTTGCCAAATAATGACAATTTATACCATGTTAACATTATTTCTGTAAGTTATGCAAGAGGACTATGTAAATCCTCTTTCTCCCCAAATTGCTGATCTCAACAAATAAATGTGATTTAGAAATTAACTTGAACAGACTCTAATGAACACTACTTTAAAAGAGTGTTAAAAACATTTTATTTCAGCATTCCTGTCAGACTTAGTTTATTTAGTGATAACAAATGTGAGTTATAGTTCCTTTGTTGACATTATGTCATGCCTTCACTTTGTAAAAGTAGTCAGACACTTCAGTGGCTTCCAAATCAGATCTTCGCTAAATTTTAATGTTCAATTTAGGAATTGTTTCCCCTTTTTCATTTCCATTTTACTTGCTTTCACAGCAATCACAAACATAATTTGAACTTTCCACAGTGTCTGCTGCTGGGTTATTTTCCTGAGGCATTCGTGCATATTTCACGTTCTTTTAATTATTGAAAAACCTAATCTTGTACAAATGAGATATCAGAAATTGAAAGTTTTCTGATCAAGTGTCAGCTCATTCATGTGTCTGTTACACAATGTGAATGATGTGCTTGGGATATTCTTTTTTCTATCTGGGTTTTGCATGCCAATATTCAGATGATATACATCTTGCCATTCAGTCCTTATTAAATGAACTACAGGTAGTCCTCCCTTAACAACTGTTTGTTCAGCAACCTTTTGAAATTATAATCATGCTGCACAAAGGGACTTATAACCTATGTCCAGAGTTACAGCCATTGTAGCACTCCTGTGTGGTCTTGTAATGAAAATGCAAGTGTTTGGCAATCTGCTCACTCTTAATGATCGACTGCAGGGATGTTGCAACTGCCCTCACCTGCCTATCTTGTCTCCCCATCTTAGCTGCCCAACTGGCCCAACAGCATGCTCAAAGGTGCTGCGATCCTGGAGACCCAAGACTGCTTCCTATTTCATCATACCTGGAAGATCTTAGCTTGTTACAGTGCCCATAGCACACCACTTACCTTTGTGGTTTTCAGCAACAACAGAGGCCACAGTCAAGTTTTTGAAAGTTGCAGTTTTTGCATTTTCCACACAGTCTACTTTGTATTTACGGAAGAGAGGGAGATATACTGGGCCTAATTTTCATTTATCCAAAAAGCCTAAAAGCAACCTACACTACCAAATATTTCTTTGGGCAGAAAAAAAGGCACATGTTTTAAGTCTCTGTAGCAAAAGAGAGCTGTGTCTGTCTTCTAGTCTAATTCCTACTTTTCCTTTTGGGAAAGGGTAGCTCACTTAGGTGGTGTAGCAATTTATGTTAGATATGTTAGCAGCACATAAAGAAAGCATGACCTGGACATTGCTAACAAAATATCTTCACTTGCATTGCTTTTTAAAGTGAGTATTTGTCCTCTAGGGTAATTCAGGAAGAAATTCCACCTGTTTTTTTTTTTTTATAGGACCTATTTACATTTAGAGGAGGTGCACTGAATACCTACGGTATGTTCACTTTGAGTTCCAGGGATTTTTTCATTAGATGGATAGTGTGTCATGATTTAGGTCTCCTTTTATGCCCTGAGTTTTAACTATTACCACTCATTAACGGAATATCAGATGTAATAATTGGTTATATAATCTATTTCCTAACTTCATCATAATCGCCAACTGATTAGCAAAGGGCCAGTTCTAAAGAGGGAACAGGATAAATGGAAATGGCACTCTTGACATAAAGAAAAAGGTAACTGATTAGTCCATCTGAACTTTGCTATAAGCATTCTCAGCAGTGGTTTTTAATCAGAATTGTCTCTATAGTACATTTAAGGTGATTATAAGGCCAGACAGTGCTTATTCTTTCCCTTCAGAGTTGATGCTGCTGATTAATGCATCAACTTACAACAGTTTGCTTAGTGACCATTCATAGTTACAACAGCACTCCAAAAACCATTTTTCACACTTTTGACCATTGCAGCATCCCCACAGTAACATAATTTAATACAATACAATAGCAGAGTTGGAAGGGACCTTGGAAGTCTTCTAGTCCAACCCCCTGTCTAGGCAGGAAACCCTATACCATTTCAGACAAATGGCTATCCAACATCTTCTTAAAGACTTCCAGTGTTGGGGCATTTACTACTTCCGGAGACAAGCTGTTCCACTGATTAATTGTTCTAACTCAGTTCTAAGTTGCTTCTCTCCTTGATTAGTTTCCACCCATTGCTTCTTGTTCTACCCTCAGGTGCCTTGGAGAATAGTTTGATTCCTTCTTCTTTGTGGCAACCCCTGAGATATTGGAAAACTGCTATCATGACTCCCCTAGTCCTTCTTTTCATAAACTAGACATACCCAGTTCCTGCAACCATTCTTCATATGTTTTAGTCTCCAGTCCCCTAATCATCTTTGCTTCTCTTCTCTGCACTCTTTCTAGAGTCTCCACATCTTTTCTACATCGTGGCGACCAAAACTGAATGCAGTAATTTACATTCAGATGCTTGACAACTGTCTCGAATTTATGAGTTGCAATGTCCCAGGGTCATGTGATCACCTTTTGCAACCTTCTGTACAAGCAAAGTTAATGGGGAAACCAAATTCACTCAACAACCGTATTGCTACAGTGATTCACTTAACAAATGTGTCAATAAAAGTCGTAAAATGGGGGAAAACCCACTTAACAAATTTCTGACTTAGCAACATAAATTTTCAGCTCAGTTGTGGTCGTAAGTCAAGGACTACCTGTTTTTACTTACTGGAATATGTAACAAAATCTTATTCTCTCAAAGGATACAATTCTTATTTTATAATGACCAAAGGAATAACTTTTTTGCTTATCTCCCTTAACCTTTTTCTTCAGTGATAGACATTAAATTGGACAAACCACAGGAACCACCAGCGAGTGAAGGAGGATGTTCTTGTTAATGCAGAATGCAGGATCTGTCAGCTTCATTTGACACCACGCTTGTTGTGTTGCTTCCTATTGGTTAGCTTCCTCAAAATACAAATTGAGTTATTGGTTGGGGAGGATTTTTTTTCTCTCAATACTTCTTCTCTTGGGTGGGGAGGCTCAACACAAATCAACAGCTGGCTCTAGCCTTTTCTTTTTTGTTTTATTTAGTTGTAATATAATGTACTTTATTAAAAATGCCAAAACAATTCAGAATTTTCCACAAGACACTTTAATCGTGTGTATACAACTTTCAGCCATGGGGACTTTTATCCTTTTTGGGGGCACCTTTTTTTTTTAAATTGTATATTTGTAAAAAATAAAAGTCAAGTCTCCATCAACTTGAGCTAAAATTTACAAAGAAAAACCCCAAGATTATACAGGCTGCCTAATTTCAAAGTTTAACATATTAGCTGTAGCTGCATCTTGTAGTAACCTAATACTGATCAGTTCATTGAGCATTACCATTTATACACCAGAGACAGCGTAGTCCATCCCTTTGCAACTGTTATAACATAGTGCAGGTCTCTGATTCTATAGCTATAAAGAGGAGGAAGAGCAAGCTATAAGTAAAATATAATTCATGACAGTGGCAGCATTTCTGCACAGTACACCCCATTCTCAAAGAGAACATCTTGGCACACTCTGTGGTGCATGTACCACTTCCTGCATCCTATTTTAATATCAGAAATGGTTTAAAGTCTTTACTTATGTCACATAGTCCAGGTGTGTGACTTTTTAAAACTTTAATTGAAGCCCTAGAACAGTGGTTCCCAAACTTGGCAACTTTAAGACTTGTGGACTTCAACTCCCAGAATTCTCCAGCCAGCTCTGCCAAGTTTGGGAACCACTGCCCTAGAACAAATGTATAATTGAATGTATATGGGAAACCAAGAACGCTCCTGTCTATTTACAAGCATCATTTGGATCAGGGAACTCTGGGTTAGTCTTTATTCCCTGCATAAATCACTATAATCAGTAAGATCACCATTAAATTTATGTTGAAAACATGTATTTCTCCTTCCCACTCCCAAAATATCTTTATGCAATGCTTTCAATTGTTAAAAGTAGATTCTTCTAATGAAAACATTCAAACCAGTTGCCAAATTTCAAACAGGATTGTTAATTACTATAACGTCAAAAAAATTACCCTATAAGATCACAATTTTTAACCAACAGGACTATTCAAGGAGGTTTATTATTATGAGTGATAGTAATTTCTGCATGAACGAACAAAGGTTGAGAGAGAATAAATGGTCTGTCTCCATAAATTTACCTTGGCAATGACGAAGCGATAATGTATGTAATTTCGGTATACATGTGTATGCATGTCTCATAGTGACATAAAACATACATTAACACACGCAGCTGTGTAGAGGTGTATGTATACACATCCAAGCACAATATAGATGCTTGGTTTCACCCACTATTACAGTTGAGAATGCAGCCAACAATCATTGTAAAAAAATATAGTTGCTGCAGTGTGTGGGTCTAGAAAGTCTTTGTTAATTGTTGGGGAAAAGTGTGATTTGTCAATGTCTTCAATAAACGAAACTCAGATACATGTGAACCTAGAAAAAAAAACTACACAAAGACATATCTCCAGATGTTGTCAATCAATGTGTGATAGTCCGTGTAGTCACATTCTGGATGCACTACAGAGAGAGTTACTTTCTGAGATCTCATTTTAGCTGTCACTTCAGTTAAAACTACAGAAAGTGTCACAGGGATGTTATAACAGATGTGAGTTTTTCTTTATGGAATAGTATTTCTCAATCTCAGTTCTGTACAGCCAAAGTATTTCAGTTATATGCTTTGGAAATTACTTCTGCTTGCTTGTAGTCTTACCCCATGCACAATTCAGTTTGTCTAATTGTAGCCAAAGCTATTGATTATCTGTCTCAAGTTTCTTTCCTTCTCAAACCCATTGACCTATTAATTTCCTTGCTGATTTCTCCTAGATATTGTTGTTTTTGTAAGTACCTCTCTGACTTCCCTGACTCATAGATTGCTTCATTCACTTACCACTAGCAGAGGCAGCTTATTACCTCCACTGCTTTTTTCACTTTATGTTTGTCACACTTGTTCTTTGCCTTGTCTTTAGAATTGGTTATAAAAACAACATTCAGGTTTTTAACAGGAAACTTAAGCGCTACCACATTTGATCAGCCATTCCAGATTCTATTTTAATGAGATGAAATGAAGCAAGGTTTGAATGGTCACTTACCATTTTAGTTAGCTGAATTTTACAGTGACTTCTGCACTGCAAGTCTGCGGTAAATGCTGAAAACTGGCAGCTAATCAGATCACGCTTTTACTAGCAAGTAAGCAGTCAAATACACAGCAAGCCACTGGCCATAACCAGAAGTGAGTTGCTCCTGGTTTGGCCAAACTGGTAGTGGAATTCAGGCCTGGGTCACAGAAACAGCAGCGACCCAGGCCTGCCACACCGCCAAACCACTTCCTTCTACACCGCTGGGCAGCTGCCATTTTGGATTTTAGTGGCTGCGCGTGTGCAGTTCACTGTAAATTGTTCTGCGGATGCGTAAAGAACAATTTACATTAAATAGTGCATACGCACGAGCGAAGCAAGCACATATGCCTGACATGGGCGCGGATTGCAAACTGGTAGTAAAACCAGCAGCAACCCACCCCTGGCCATAACCTACTATCGCCTCACTCCATTTGTGGTGAAAATTCCTTTCCAGTAAAAAAGACATCATTTCCTTCTCCAGGCATAATAATTCTATTTTTACCCCTTTACCCAGCCCTACTGCTTTTTGATTATTCTGGGTGACTAGATGCTGAGAAGCAAAATCAATCGGGATTCTCCTCCAATAACCATGTAGGCATCCTTATGCAAATTACCAGAATGAGGCATAGCTGTTTCTGCAATGCTGGTTGCAAAAAAAAAGTGGGGGGGGGACATTAATGGGAAGACAGGATTAAGTGGTATTGTCTAGTTGGTTTGAGGTGGTTATATTGGGTCTGACAATGCTCTTTTTGCATTTCACCATTAAAAATACCAATGTTTTAAAGCGAATAGATTATTTGAAGTGGTCCTTCAAATAATCTACTAAACAGATTGTCCCATCTTGTTTTCTGTCTCGGGGGTATTTTATGAAAAGAGAACCTTTTTAAAGGTAAAAGCAAATTACTGAAAACCTTTCAGCCTTGTGAGGTAGTTAAGACAAGAAGCACACCTAGATAAACAAATTAGAATTGTAAGGTTATATTATCAGAATCTTGCAAATCTGCAAGAACATCTCTCCATTGTTAGCTTTACAGCCCAAGAAACTATGGAGGAGGCTTTCTGAGTGTTTGCCCTGCCCACAATTCTGATGGGGGCAGCCTAGCTGAACATTCACCTGGTTGTAACTCGTCCCCCTACCATTCCCATATACCACTGCAAAATGGGATTTAAAAATTAAAGGAAATCAAGTTAGTAATTTTTTTTAAAAAAGCTGGCAGTCAGTGTAACTATAGGCATACTAGGCTAAATCCATATTGTAGGCATGAATTGACATACATGTAAATGAAAAATGACAATGAGTTAAAGATTTTCTAAAGATTTGACGCCTTGGCCAAAATATTTCTGCAAAGCATAGAAGTCTCAATCATATTAAATAAATCTCAGAGACATTGGAAAGCCTCTTCCAAACCTAAATAAATTTTACATTTTTAGATATCTTACCAGAAGCACAAACATAAGTAATCCATAGCAAACATTGGAGTGAAGAGAACAATTTTTCTTAATATTATATCAAAAGAAACTGAACATTTTTAACTTAGGAAGAAAATTCAATTATAGTATTTTCTTTTATATATGTTAACTCATTACTCTCAAAAGATGTGAAAGAACCAATGTAGAAAATATAAGTATTACACATTTCTAAGGAACTAGAAAAATCCAAAGATTTTTTTAAAGTGACAAATTATAAAACCATGGTGTAATTTATTTTTCTTCTGAAAACTCAGCTGAACAGAAGAAGAGTAGAGATGAGGCATACATAACAATTTTGACACTAGTGCATAAGGCATCTTGAAGACATCTTGACCTCCCAATCACAATGTGTATCTGAAGTACATGAACTGACAATTTTTTAAAAAGGCTGTGTTTGCAAGACGAGGATACAAACTCATCAGAAAGAGCAGTTCACCTGCTTCAACAATAGTATCTAGCAACAATTATGCATAAATATACACTTTGATCTTTGAATTATAAATGTCTATGTTCCTTCTCCAGAAGATCACAGAGATCCAGGTAATCAGTTCCTTTCCAATAAAAACACAAACAATAGATTAATGACCTATATTGATATGAGGGAGGGTTTTGTTTTGTTTAGAAGAGATGAAGAGGCTTGGTCTGGATTTTATTCCACTACAATTATTTATAAAATGCAGAGTTCTGTGGGTAGAGGGGGGTGTCCAATATGTCTCCAATTCATATAAATACTGCACCTTGCTGAAATTTCAGATGTAATTATTCATAATTTACCAGAGATGAGAAATTCCAGACTGCTTCCTCACCCCAATGGCTAGGTCATATTACTGAAGTTTTTATAGTTTTGAGGCAAACATAACTTAAGAGTATCCCAACTATACACAACTAATATTTAAAACAATCCATGCCGACAAACCTAAGCACTGTTGTATTGGTTCACCTTCAAAGCAACACTCCAGCTGTTCATTCGTTTTAATTTATGTTTTGATGTGATGCTTTCACTACTCGTTCTCGTTTCACACAATGATTCATGAAGCACAAAAGTGGTTCAAGGTGTATTTCAAATGTCTTCTATGAATAAAATTAGCACTAATTGACACCATGCCACATGTCTTTAAGAGGACAAGGAGGCGGGATTTAGTAAATTTCATACAATTAGAAGAGTAGAGTTAGAGAAACTCTATTATTTTAATACATTTAGAATCTTCCCCCGAAGAAAAGCTTGCCTTAGCAAAAGTCAATGTGCAATACATTATTTCATTAATCATAACAGGAATATCCAAAAAAACAATGTATCCTCCATCTCTTTTCTGCATGAAGAGTATTTTTTTTCTCCCAGACATCCATCACAGGCCCCAACATGGTATGTTTGCTATGTGCATCTTTAAACATACTACTGATATTTCCTGTTAAAGAAATAGACTTCAGATTCTATTTTAGCTTGATGTAAGAGTCTGTACTTGGAAGAAAAAAAAGCTCATTCTCCACCTTCCAGCATATAACTATCCAACCATTTGGCCTTGTTCATGAGACTTTTGCTCAAGTTTAAAGAAGTATTCGCCAAGCAAATATCTTCCAGGTAGTCAAGACTGCAACTTTCATAACCCTTGGCATTGTCCATACTTGCAAGATGTAAGGGTTTAGGACAACGTATTGGTATTTGGAGGACACCAAGATGGATCATTGTGCTCATAGACAAGCCTTTATTATCAAAATGATAAGGCTGGAAGGCAAAACTTTTACAGAACTGGAGGCAAGGGATGTGTTTAGCCTGAAGATGTAAGACAGTATGGCGGCATATTAATAGCTGTTTGGGGTCACATGCAGCCTGTAAGCCACAGGTTGGACACACCTGATGTAGAAGACAGAATTGTATGGTTCAGAGTAGTTCCATAAGATAGGTTTTTTTAAAAGGATTTAAATTATGAAGAGGCAAATTTTAATGGCAGGCTAAATTTCCTAAGCAGCTGGTCCACAATGGAACAGAATACCTCAGAGGTGGAGCGGCCTTCACAGGATTTTAAACAGGCTGGTTGGCCTATTAGGTTTGCCATAGTTATAGCTTTCTGAACCAGTGGAAGGGTGTTTGTGCCTTTCATACACCAACAAAAATATTCAATTGATTATCTGTGGAATAGAAAGCTGAAAACATGGGCAGTGATATTATCTAGCTAAAATTCTTGGGAGTTGTTATTCCAAAACATTTGGCTGCAGAAATGTGGTTCTGATAAATATGCACACAGATTAGCAACAGTAAATGCATGTAGATAAATCCCCAAAAGATTAGGGAGAAAGAGTGTCACCAAGCAGAATATTTACTTACTCAAAATTCTTAGCAAACATCATTGCAGGCATAAATATACCATTATTTCATCTCTTAGTATACTTTTTGTTTGTGAAAACAGCAATAAAATTCCCCAGATGGACAATAAAGTTGCAGAATAAAAACTTAGTCTAATGGAACAGCAGTATTCCAGGAATTAAACTGACATCACAGCCTGATACATAAAACTGCAATATTTGCAAAGTGACACACAAGTGGAAGAATCACTGTCAAATATTTAAAATTTGGGGGTTCTGCCCTCTTTGGGCCATTTGCATTAACTAAAGAAATTCAACCAAAACATAAAACTGAAATTCAACACAGCTGAGCTGAAAATCAAAGAAGAGTTTTTATAGCCTTCCCCAGAGCAATTTATAGAAATTACACAATGGATTGTCTCCCACTGAATTGATAGTTAAGAAAAAACAAACTATTGATATATAGACAAAAGATGAAGAAGAGACAGTCTCATTGAGACCACCTTTTATTGGAATTAGTATATAATTGAACTTAGCTTTATTTATTTATTAATTTTATTGA